GTCCCCTGTGTGTGTGTATATATTGTGGTGTGTTGGTGGTATGTTTAAGGAGAGGGTAAAATAACAAGAGCTTTTGTTTAAGGCACTGGTTTTTTACTGGGAATTACTGTTCCTTCTTAAGCGTGTCCTATACATCTGGCTATATCCTAGCTCTTAGGTTTAATTATTTCTTCTGGATCCTGCCATAATCCCTATACAAAGCTGGTCTTCAAATTATTTAACATTTATCAGAGGAGGAAACTAAGGCACAGCAAGGTTAAGTGACATGCTTAGCATTAGATTGGTAAGGGATGGAATTAGGGTTGCATGAACCCAGGTCTGTCTAATTTTAAAATCCCGTACTGATAATCCCTGTTCTGCTGCTCAGTAGTGATGCCTCAGTTTCTTTTAAGGTGGAGTGATAGATAATTTAGTGCCTTCCTCAAAGGGTTGGTATGTCATTCAGTGAGATATTGCACATAAAGGATTTAGGACAGGGTTTGGCACACAGTACATGTTCAATCTTATTTATATTATTATTTATAATTGTTAAATTAACTGTGTCTTATATCATTATACTAAAATAACTTTATTTGGCCATCCGGTATAGAAATTACATATCATAAAGTCTTGCCAAAGCAGTTATTTACTATGCATGAACCTTAAGTAACTAAAGCATTATAAGTTATTAAGTGATCCTAGACACCAAAATCTGTGCTTTTACCTGTTTCTGATGGTTTTCTACCTTTTATGAAACAAAACCAACCAAAGTTCCAAGCCTCTGTCCAACTTTTAATCGCAGCTCTATCTTCAGAAGCAACCAAAAATTAATTGCTATATCTACCAACATTGAATTGACTAAATAAATTATGGTTTGTTTATTTATACCAGGAGAGCTGGTTAAGAGAATTGTAAGATATATTACTAAGGGATGTTAGAGCAGTACAGAATGATCTGTATAATACATATGCCTTTGTGCAAAAGAAAAACATATGTACATCTCTAGTAGCTAGTAGCAGGAGCTTCTCCTTGGAGGTAGACCAGATGACTAAAGTACAAGGAAGCTTTAGTTGTCACTTGATGTGACATTTCTTTTTTGAAATGTTTTGAAATTTTTAGTATGTACTTATTTCAACTATTCAATAAATAAATCAAGAAGGTCAGAAAGACTGCTGTCATTAAAAATTACTCCTTGAGTTGGTTTTATAATGTTTATTGAAGCCAAATTTGATTAAGATGATGATGATGGTGGTGGTGGTGATACACCATAAAATACTCTTTTTAACATTTTGCTAATATACAATTTCATTTAATCAAGCCAAGTAAATGGTCATTTGGGGAGAGAGTTGAGGGACTAGAAAGTCCAGGCTGACCTTATGGATTGGGAAAGGTCTCACCTCCAGATTTTGCCCTGGGGTCAGGCAGTGGACATACCTTACTTGCCCTTCTCCAGCTTCAGAGTCAGGCAGTGATTTGTGGTGGGACTCCTCTGAGGCACTTCTTGATCCTTAGGTTCAGTTATAGAAGCCAGGCATTTCAGAAAGATTTTTAAGGTCTTGGATGGGAGTAACTTTTGGAGGGGGTTATGAGAGGAAAGTAACTGGAGAGATGTTGGGGGGAGGGGGGGAGTATGAGAGGTGGGAGACTGCTCAGCCCTAGAGAGCCAAAAGATTTCATCACACACAGTCTTTAGTTCCTAGAATTTCCTTGTTCATGGAGACTCTGCGAAACGTCCCAAGTGCCTTTTCCTTCAGAGCTCTCACTGTGCTATTTTTGATCAGTCTCTCTTGCAGTCTGGCAAGAAGTTCACTCCATCTCCCATGAGTTGGGCCTCACTGCCTAAAGAGGACAGCATTCTCTTTTCAACTGGGGAGAGAGGGAACACAGAAGCAGCCAGTGTGCTAGAGTGAACAGATTTACGTTTAACTAGTGTTTTTTTTTTTTTTTTTTTAAGTAGAAATGATCTAGAAGTAAGCTCACTGGGTAGCGTCTTTCCTTTGGGCTTCAACTGTCCTCTTCATAAATCAGGCAGCCCGGGTGAGATTAGAGCCTGCTATTTCTGACTGAGCCTGTTGACTTGGGGCTGCTCATCTAGACTTATAACGCCCTGTTAATCTTCACTGGCCCACTGCCCCTGTACACTCTACTTCCAGCAGTTCTATCAAGACTTGAAATAGTATTATGCTCCTTTTCCCTATTCATTGATTTCTGTGAAATTGGGTGGAGCAATTTATCATATGTATAGTAGGGCTGGTCTGAAACCAAGCTTGTAAGCCAGAATTCTCTTCCGGAGAAGTCCATGATATTCTTTGTTTCCAGTTTCAAATCCAGTCAGATTGTAAACAGGCTGAAAAACAACTACAATGTTACTTAAGGGATTACGAGCTTTCCAACTTGCCCTCTGCATGCTGGTCTTTTAGCTTGTTGCTCTCCTCCAGTTTGCAGTCATTCTTTGTTCAGCTCTTGGCGGGGCCCTCTCTAGTATGTGACCCTGGGCTGGTTATTTACACTAGCTTAGAGAACTTGCCTGTAATGTAGGGAACCTGGTACTTAACTCAAAGCTGTGGTGATATTGAAATGACATAGACATTTAGAGTTTTTCTTGGTGATTATAAAGAGATAAAGGGTAATGGTGAATAACATAGACTTCGGGGCTACACACTCTTGAGCCACTGCCATTTATTGCTGGTGACCTTGGTCAAATTGTTTAACATCTCAGTGTTTCAGTTTCCTCATTGGTGCAGTGGAAATGTTCCTGGGACTTAATTCCCAGGGGTCTAAAGATGAGTTAATATGCTTAAAAGCTCTTAAAGCCATGCCTGGCACATAGTAAGCCTTCACTAAGTTACCTGCAGCTTTTATTATTATTACCACTGCCATCTTGTGCTTTAGAATAAATGTCTAAGAAATAGGGTTCTTAGGCAAGCTGTCTTAGTGGCAGCAGACTCCTGACCATAGTGTTCTTGCTTTGTTAAAACCTGAGGGTCTCTTGTAATCATAAGCACATTGATGGGTGCTAAGAAAATTTATTAGTAGAGATTAAGGCTGATGGGGGTTTTGAGTATCCCTGCACCATGATGGGAAATGGATCACAGCAGGGTTGGAGGAGATAAAAGGTGAAGCAGAAACAATCTGATTTAGGGGACAGTCAGATAAGAGACTGTTAGCGTAATTAATTGTCTATTTCAACACACAAACAAGGGCCCTTTAAGTAGAGAAAGGATTTGCCACATGATACGGATCTGCTTTCTCTCTGCCAGATGCTTCAGTCATGAAGCTATTGAAACAGGCATTCTGTGTCCCACAGCCCGCTAATTGCCAAGCTTCATCCCTAACTGGCTTTGGCACTGAAGAAAGCAAATGGGATAATACAAGGCCTTTCCTTACCAGCCCCCTTCTCTTATTCATTTCTATAAAAGATGGCAGACAACCAGATTATTCTATTCAAGCAAATGCCGGCTATATGCTTATATGAATACAGCTGTCATTTCAGTGGCCCTGTCTTCAAACAGTAACAAGATGCTTATGTAAGACATACCTCCCTTAAAGAATTGAGAGTAAGATAACCCCGTTTTCTACTCTTGACTTTGCATTTCAGATACACTTACTTTCTAGCCCATCACCTAGCAGAAAGCTTGAACGGTGTGCTTTGGCTTTCTTAAAGATTTTTGGGCTCACTTTGCAAGTCTGATTTTGGATTCTCTTTCCAGATTTAGAAATGCATGTCCATGTAAAGAGATCAGATTGCACAGCCTCTGGGGGCAGACCAGGCCAGTGGTGTTTTGGTTCATGGGCTTTGCCTTCCATTATGAGATATTAACTATGGAAATACAGATTTAGAATATTCGAGCAAGAAGGGAGCTTGGAGAACAAATCTTACCTGCAAAGATGTCTGTGTGCAAAAGTTTGTATGTGTTCGTTTTCCTGGAAGACAAAGAAGCTGGAACCTCAAATGGATGAAAGTCTCTGAGTCCACTTCTCTTGTTTCTTTCAGAGATGAGGCATTGAAATAACTGGCCTCATGTGTCACAAGCCCCTCAGAACTCCATGCAAGCCAGAAAGTGAGTTTCTGGTCCTCCTTCCAGGCACTTTGCACTCTGGCAAGGACAGGTTTCAGCCTACCAGGAATGTTCTTATCATGGTCTTGGGGGTACTTTTGTCTTGAACCTCATCTTGACCTTTTTTTACTGTCTGTATTGATTTCTTTTCTTTCTTCTCTTTTTTTTGGGAGACAGAGTCTCCTCTGTTGCCCTGGAAGAGTGTCATGGCATCGTTGTAGCTCACAGCAATCTCAAACTCATACCTCAGCCTCCCAAGTAGCTGGGACTACAGGCACCTGTTACAATGCCCACCTGGTTTTTCCTATTTTTAGTGGAGACAAGGTCTCACTCTTGTTCAGGCTGGTCATAAACTTCTGAGCTCAGGCAGTCTACACTGCACCGCACAAGAGCCACCACGCCGCACTTGTTTGTGTTGATTTCTGAGAGCTGCTGGAAGACGGGAGATGTTTCCCTTTAGTGTTTATTTGTAACTGTGAGTGTAATAAATGGTTATTTTTTTTTTTTGAGACAGAGCCTCAAGCTGTCCCCCTGGGCAGAGTGCCGTGGCATTACAGCTCACAGCAACCTCCAACTCCTGGGCTCAAGCGAGTCTCCTGCCTCCGCCTCCCAAGTAGCTGGGACCACAGGCGCCCGCCACAACGCCCGGCTATTTTTTTTTTTTTTTTGGTTGCAGCCGTCATTGTTGTTTGGCGGGTCCAGGCTGGGGATTCGAACCCGCCACCTTAGGTGTACGTGGCTGGCGCCTTAGCCGGGTGAGCCATAGGCGCCGAGCCTAAATGGTTATTTTTTGTGATCTGACTGAGCTCCGTTTAAAACTCCTAAATTCTTTATCTTTTATCCAGACTTGGAATGTAGTCTTATTATGGCTGACTTACTGTTTTTTGATTTTCCTCATCTGTGCATAATTTCAGACTAATAACTTACATGTCTTAAATAACTAATTTCTTCTTGTTGTTACAGGTACCTCAGTAATAATGAACTGACAGCCATCCCATCCCTGGGTGCTGCCTCGACACATGTCGTCTCTCTCTTTCTGTAAGTGGTGATGTTGGGGTGACTCTGGGCTGTGTGGGGAGGCTGTGGTGGTATTTTGCTAACACATGGTAATGGCAGAACTTGAGTTCAGATGATTTGCTGGTGTAGAATGACTTTTCTTCTTGTGCCCCTAATGATCATAACAAATTCCTTGCTTGCTGTTTGGGGGTTTACAGAATTAAAAGCTAGGAGTTTTGCCTCATCTCTAATTTGGGAGGAAATAGCTCTTTTTTAATGCCTGGAGATACATGGAACTAGATTTCTTGCTCCCAGTGGTTAAGCTGCAATGTTGGTGAATAAGCAGGGATAGAGGAAGATGTGAGAATTGGAAGACAGCAAGCTCATCTTTGTGCCACTATGTTTGATAATGTGACTTAGTTTTACTTTTATGGCTTTAAAAAAAGAAAGTGCCCCCAGTTCTTTGAAATCAACATGAAAGTAAGGAATTAGTTGTCAGGATCAAGTGTTAGACAAAATGCAACCTGTTTACTATCTTAGACAACACACTGTAAATGAAAAAGGATAGAAAGGAAAGGAAAGAAACCATAGGGGCTGTTAAAAGCCTTTGCTGGAGAACTGAGCACTGGCCTCCCCCTCGATTCTTCAGCAGTCAGGTTGGAGGTACATGCTCGTTTTAAACTCACTCAGAGGTCTTTTCAGATAAACCAGCTGTGGGTCTAGTGATTTTTTTTAGCAGATTTTATTGGCATCTTCCCTGATTTGTGGTGAATTTCCTGTCTCCATTCCAGCTTTGCATATTTTAATTTTATTTTGATTTTGGGGGTTTTCTAATTCATTTGCTCACCTGTATATGTGTTTTCTCGACACCAAGGCACAGCAGGCTGAGCAGAGGGACTTGGCAGGAAGGGCTATCAATCATGTGGCTGGTGTAGCTTGCAGATCTCAGATTTTTGCTGGCTGTGGGTGCTATGTCCCTGTGGAACGTGGTCTTGAGCTTAACCCTTTTCACAGTATTGTGTGGTTGCAGGGGAACATAGAGGGTTAAAAGTGTGGCTTATGTTTGTGACCTGCACAGATGACTCGACCTTTCTGAATCTTGTTTCCCTTATGTACAAAATATGTTCTTGACCTGTTTTATACACAGCAAGTACAAGGCTGAGGTCAGAGAGGAGTGTAATGTATATGAAGCTCCTAGCATCATGTGGGGCACTTACTACATTTTTTGACAAATGGCAGTTGCTGCTTCTGGCTGGTAACTAGTTGTCACATAGCTCCTTGGGCATTGGCAAGATCTTACCTTTAGGGGCTCTAGGATTTGTGAGTCAGTTCTTGTTTCTGTGAAGTGCTAGAGTAAAGGTTTGGTCCTTTGTTTCTTTTGATGGATGGGCAGAGGTCTGACTGTTTTTGGTACCCACTTGGTCCATGTGCCCAGCATCTGGAAGGTGTTTAATTGTTGGCTAAGTTGCACGAATCAGCCTTATGTGAGGTTAGTCAGGGATGTGGTAACGCCTTTTATGTTCATGAAGCAAAGCACTCGCAGATGCCTGTAACTCCTTGCATGGACTAGTGGTATCATGTCAGCTCTGAGCCTGTTAGAAATGCAGAATCTCAGGCCTCCCTCTGCCCCACTGGATCAGAAGCTTCATTTAACAAAGTCCCTGGCCATTTTGTTCATGCATTAAAGTTTGAGAAGTGCTGATTTAACTCCTCTTGTTCCCCACCTTCTGAGGAAACCAAAGCCACAGAAAATACCTTAATCTTGTTAGAGAAGAAACTGAGGCTCCTGCCAGATCTTCTAAGTTGTAGAAGTGAGAGGGAGAAACTGAGACTGGACACAAATGCCAGTGCATGGCTTCTTTATCTACCGCATACACTCTAGCAGGAGCATAGCAGGTGACTGAGCAAGACTGTGCCAGAGGCAGGCAGGGCCCCCAGCTTGTCCCATGGGCCTGTGGCAATTTGAATCTTGCCTTGCTCTAAAGATTCTGACGGACTAAAAATACATTTCTGTTCCTAGGCCCATGTGCCAAGAGAAGTGAGGCTGTTTGGCTTTGTTCCTGCTATTCCATTAGATGGCGTTGAAATATGGAAAGCAAGAGAAAAAAAAGACTCCCTCCCTGTTTTGATTCAATTTGGAAAATGCAGGTTAGCCTTGGCAGCCACCTCTTTCGCCTGAAGTTGGTCTCCATCTGACTTGGTCAGTGATTTCTCTGCAACTATAGAAACTGAAGGGTCATTATCTTGTTTTGTTCTGAGGTGGCCATATTCCCTGTTCCTAAACTGGGATGCCTGGATTTAGTAACAGTAAAAGTTAAGTTATCAGCATGATGTCTGGATAGCAGGATTAGCAATAATTTTGCTGTCATCCTTCACGCCACCCTTTCTGTATTTCCCAAGCGGATGGTACAAAGGACAGTGGAAAAAATAATGGAGCAGGCAGCAGATGAGGGTCACTTTACAGCCAAAGGGCTACCTTTCCCTTCCTGACTGAGGACAGCAGGGGACTTAGCATCTCCATCCACTCCAGGCTGTGAAGAGCATGCTTTGCTGAGGTTGTCCTTTACTTTGCAGAACTACTGGACAAAAAGGTGTCAATGTGTTCCATAAGTATTTAGTAGTCCCTCTGTGCCCCTTCATGCGGAAGGCCCAACACATTGTTTGAAAATGTGGTAGTTAATAGATGCTTATAATCATTAATCTCGAAATTCTTACTCTTTTGAGGGCAGGCAGAGGATCAGAAAAATGATCAAAATGTGCAAAGGGAATATTATAGAGCAATATATCTGCTGAGGCCACGTCAGTTAGAGGAATCAAGACAACTTTCTTGGGACAAATTTATAGGCAGGTGCATTGGAAAAGTGGGCCCAGGTGTGTGTTCTTTTTTGGGTGCAGTTGTGACCTAGTTGTTTTTCTCTCCTTTGTTGAAAGAGATAGTAAAAGTATCCATTCATCTTTCATATTTCTTCTGTAACCCAGAAATCCAGAGTGATGGTAGTAATGTCCCAGAAGACAGTTACCCTTTTACCAAGTAACCACCACTGGTGCTTTATATCTCTTACCTGAAGTACCCAGTTTGTGCTGTTCAGCTCAGACCCCTGAGATTCTGGACTTGGCCTCTGGAAGTTGGCTCTTCATCTCAGTTTCTTTTGCTTATATAAGAGTGCTCTGACTTCTAGAGCCCTCCTTAGCTGGGCATCACAGTCAGGAGGGCATCGTGGGAAGAGGCTTTGTTTTGTGCCTGGCTTTCATATCAGGACTTCAAAAAAGAGTTCCAGAGTTTTGGGAACTGGAGTCATGCAGCAAAATTTCAGCTGGTTAATTCTTTCTGATTAAAGGAATCAAATTCAATTAAAGTACTTGTCAAAGAACAGATTTATTTGCATCACATTCCAAGGATAATGCCAAAGCCATTTGTCCTTAATAACAGAAAGCTTAAAACTCGGGGAAAGCTAGGTTTTAATAAGATTGGGTTGCAGTGAGGGAACTAATTTCATAAAATAGTTCTCAGAAAAAGAAACAGACTTCTGTTAAATAGAGGTAGAACCTGCCACTAGATTTTTACATTGAGATTTTCTTCCTTTAATTTGAAGTCCAGGAAACTCAAGTTACAATTCCCAGGGCAACAGCAATTTTGTCTGATACATACGCGACATTTCTGTTGAAGAAAAATTCCACTTTTCCTGTGGCATTACTGCACTTGTGTCATTGAGAAGATTGGTTACAGTGGAGACAGTTGAATTTTTCAGTCCCTCGGAGTAGCAGCGCTGGCTGTAGCATTGGCTTTAGCTGTCTGTCTCCTGTACATAGGCTGCAGCATGTCTCCCAGATGGCCCTGGGCTTTGTCCTCCTAATTTCTTTTCCAGTTGTTGAGATATTTTACTTTAGACCTCATCCCTTCACCATGCCTTGTTTGCTCCCCCCCCCCCACACATCAAAATACCATTTATTTGTAATCTTGAAAAGAATGTTTTTAGAAGCTATTTTTTAAGATAAAATTAACATACCATAAAGCACCATCATAGCCATTTAAAATTGTTTAGTTCAGTTGCTTTTAACACATAAATGTTAGACAGCCACCCCCACTGTATAATTCCAGAACATTCCCATCATCCCCCAAAGAAATATCATACCTTTTAAACAGTCACTTTCTTATAATACCCTCATACCAGCCTCTTGCAACCACTTACCTAAAAACTAATTTTTTTTTCCCCAAGAAAGTATTTTTCTCTCATGTTAACAAATGTACCTGGAAAACTTAGAACATGAATGACTTTAAATGAAAATGTCTGAGGTGGTTTTAACTACTGTATTTTGCTGCAACTGCTTACCTAAAGCAAAAGTGAATAAAAGGGCTGGGATATTTAACCTCTCTCTATTGTAAGTTCCAGAGAATAAAACCTAGAAGGAGAGAAACATGGAGTCCAGTCTGTGACCCCACTTGGAGTGAGGGCAAAGTGGAAGGAGCCCTGGGTGGACTTTGAGGGAGCAGAGGCTGTGGAGGCCTGAGCCCTCTCCTTGGCGGGAGCTGCTGGTGGAGTAAAATCAATAGGAATACTTAACTCTCTGAGCACCTCGTGCAGCCTCTGGAAAAAAGAGGGGTGAAATCAATCTTCTTTACAGGCTCATTAATGCAAAGATCAATTCACATTAAAGCATAATTAAAGCGTGAGCTTTAGAGGGGAGGCAGCCATGATATGCTACCAGTCAGGGCTGGGGAGAATAGTGAGAGGCCCTCAGAAGGCTAAGCTGGAAAGGACATGCACTTTAACTTTAGAAAATGAGGTTCAGACTCAGGACCTGAGACAAGGCTGTCAATAATGCAGCTTGAAGCACAGGTGATATGGTACTGAGTAGCAAACACTGGGCTTGCCTTCCTGAAATTGTGTGTGTGCATTGGGGGGAGTGAGAGGAATTTATTCTCCACCTGAGGAGTTGGGTTGAGGCCTCTTTCCTTTCTCTTCACTACCTGCCTTTAAAACTTTCTCCAAATTGCATCACCTGAAACAAGATCATTCTTTACAGACATGATAAAGATTTATGTGAAAATCTTCTCTTGCACATGATGTTTATTCCTGGAGGCAAAGTAATAGTTTGTCTTTAAGAGTTGAATGGTAATCTCAGATGGTAGAGCTCTTGGTGTGTTTATGCCTAGCTGAACCTATGGCTTCATAGGTGTATGTGTGGTTGAGGTGGATGCAGCCATTTTCCCTAGGAATCACCCTGCCCTCCCTGTGGTCAGGGACGATCCACCCATCATCAGATGAAGAGTGGACCTAATCAGGTGTGTGATAAAATAAGGGAACAGGTAGATGTGTCCCCATTCTACTTTGGAGTGGCTTCCCCCACTTACGTACCCCACTTATCCTTACCATGAAATGAAGGCCAGCCCGTGTGGGCATCATTGTGAAAACAAATGTTACCTGAGCCATTCCTATTTTATTCTCTCTGGCAATAAAATACACTCTCATCAAGAGTGTGGAGTTAGTAGTGAGTGGCTCCAGCCGCATTAGGAAGAAACTGTAGGCAAAGTTATGTTTAAAAAGGCCCAAGTGGAGTGTAAGCGAATGTTGTTTGTTTCTTGGGAAGTCCAAAGCAGTTTCAGTTCACAGATGCTAAAGGGAAGATAAAGGCTTAGTTAAAATACAGGACAACAGGGAAATACATGTATGTATAATATATGCATACATGAATGCAGTTCCTCTTCTGAGTCTTCAAAGATGGTCTCACTTTCTGCCCTGTTTGCTCAGATTTTTGTTGGTGTACACTGATTCATTCTTCTGGGTAAAACCTCATACCTGTGCCCTTGAGAGCTGGAGGCTCGTTCCTCATGGCAGACCACCTATAGGGCTTGCTGAGACAAGATGATTGGGCCTCAGTCCCCCTCTGTGACTCCATAGGTCTGGGGTGAGACCAGAGAATTTGCCCTGCTTATGAGTTCCCTGCTGTTGCAGATGGCCTAGGAACCTGTCTTTGAGAACTGCTTCCAAGGGTTATATAGGGTTGGTAGGGAGCTCTAACCTACTGAGGCTTTGGTGAACAGTAAATTATTTAGACCAGTTTCTACTGTCACCAATGTGGTGACAGGCATCATTTGGGAAAGTGGGGCTCAGCAGCCCTGGTAATCACTTCTGAGAAAGGCCCTAGGGGGTGTGGGCACTGCATGAGTACCAGGACATGCCCAGAACAGACCTGGCCATGACTTGGGGTTTGAAGCCCACAGCCATTATAGATTTGTTTTTGCTTAATTTATTATTTGTTGGTGACCACTCCAGTTTGCCCAGGAGACCTTCACCAGCTACTACAGAGGTGGAGACAGCACTTGGTGAGCAGCTTACTTGGCAGGAGACCTGTTACCGTTTCAGTCTGTAGGTTGGCGGCTCTGCACGTGCCATGCATCTCCGGCACACTTACTGTCCTGTGATTGTCATTCGCTGGGATCTGACAAATCTGTGTCCTGGCCTGAGACTTAGAGCTGAGAGTAGTACAGCTTCATTCCAGGTAGACGTTAACAGGAGTGTCTGAAAGCAATTCTTTCTGCCCTGGTACATCTGCCTTGTTGCATCTTCTTAGCCTTGCATTGTTTATGATGGGGTCACTCCCATTTTCCCAGTCTTCTCCCTGTGGGAGGCTGTGCTACCGGTCGCCAGTGGGTAAAAGAGATGAAAGGAAAGCTACAGAAGCCCACACTGCTTCGTCATGGAGCTATGGGTTCATTTGCAAGGGTACTGTGCGATTTGCCAGCCTGTGCCCCACATGAAGCCCAGTATGAATGAACAGGCTGGGTCCCATGGGCTTGGGAGCGCCTGGCCTCTGTGACCAGACATTTGTCATACAGGGGCTAGAGATTGTCCAAGGGGAATCCACTGCTGGTCACTGAGGAGATGCATGGCAGAGAAGGCTGCTGGATGAAGCAGCATTTTAGCCAACGTTCTCTGGTTGGTGCCCCTCCCCCCCCAAATGAGTTTAAGTTGTAGTTAGATGGAACACCGTAAATGTTCAGCCGACATGTTGGGTACTTGGAGGAGTATTCAGAGGAATACTAAGAGGACATGGCTGATCCCATTTTTTTAGGTCAGTTTGTACACCCCACCCCCCACCTCATTTTCTTTATCAAAAGGCTGGCTGTTCATGAAGAGCTAGGAAGCTTCTGTTGGAAGGCAGAGTAAGATTCGTGGTTCATAGAACTGCAGCCTCATCTGATGCTGGACACCACCAATAAGCCTCAAAATAGAAAATAAATACCTAGTTCACAAAGAAAGCAGCTCTCTGTCCCGGAAACTTCCCAGGGATTCTGTAGGGCAGACTGCCTCTTGCCCCCAGTCTAAGTGAGCCTTTCACTGGGAAAGGAGCCTCTGTGGCCTCTGCAGTGAGGCTGCCAAATTCTAAACCAGGTGTCCTCAAACTATGGCCCACGGGCCACATGCAGCCTGATTAGGACATTTATCTTGCCCACCGGGTGTTTTTGCCACCGCTGCCTATCCTGCTTAGCAGCTGACTCATCCTGGGGCCCGCAGTCCGGCCTTCCAATGGTCTGAGGGACAGTGAACGGCCGCCTATTTAAAAAGTTAGAGGACCCCTATTAAATCTGGACAGTCATGACTTGCCATTTTCCGTCTCCTTTCCTACCCCCGCCCCTTATTTGAGGTGGGGTTGGTAAGCCAGCCAGACAAGCTGTACATCTGCTAGTCATTTGCTGAGAAAGTGAAGGGGACACCAGCTGTGGGGCTAGGGAGACCGGTAGAATAGAAACTTGGTCTTGGAAGTCCCACTGCCTTTTTTGAAACTCAGTAGCTTAAATTCTGTTGTTGAGAGTTGACTTTGGTGCTTGACTTTCTCTTTTTTCCTAATGACTGACTACATAAGCTTCAGATATAGCGCAAGGTCCTGTGGGGACACAGTCTGCTCCTGATGTAGAAGTGGTGCCTGGTAGTGGTGGGGAAGTATGCAGCAGTGGGTGCTGAAGTGGAGCTGGGGAGTGAAGCTGCTCTGCCATTGCACAGTCTCCCCTGTGAAAGGGGCTGGCTCCGGCTCATATCAACAGTCTCATTCCAAGTGGGACCATTTCCTCCTCTGCCCCCTCCCCTCTTCATTTCCTGCAGGTGGCTTCTGTAATCCAGTTACCACTGGGGAAGCCTCATGTACATGTGCACCTAATCCGAAAATGGCTGGCTTGACTTTGACCTGTGTGGTGACCTTGCAGAGAAGGCAGGGCCTATTGTGTCTGCTCACACCTGGGAACCATTTTCAGCTTTTATAGCTCCAGTGGAAGAAATGTGTTTGTGTTTTTCATACGGCCTGTGATTGTTGAGCCATACATAGGGGATATTCGATTCACCCTGCTTGTTCAAAGGTAAGGGTTTTAAAAGATAGAATAGCTTACTCAGTTTATTGAGTTTTATAAAATTGCCGTTTTTGTAGTTCAATAATGGTCCAATGCCAGCATCTTATCCAGCCTTTCGAGATGGAAAAATAGTGACAGTCTGCATATGTGGTACTCTGATGTTGGCAGGCATCACCCTTGTGCCTTCCCAGGCCTCATCTGTCATGTCAGCCTCTATAGTCCACACAGGGTCTGTTATAAAGCACAATTTAGAGGTAGGGCACCTCAGGGAGGCACACAGAGAGGGCAAGTAACTATCTTGAAGTCACAGAGCTAGGAAACGTCAGAAGTGGGTCCTAGTATCATTTCTCTACATCTCTGGGCTTATCCTCACTGTCTACCTGGAAGTATGTGGTCTGGGAGTCTGTTATGTCAGTGCCGACATAACAAATTATGTTAGGCCTGGGAAGCCTCTGGAGCCTGAAGTGAGAGGCTTCTACCCTGGTGAAGGCCTCAGGCATCTCCCAAAGTCTTGCTGTGTGCCTCTGTAACACCGTTTTTTAAAAAACCTCTTTGTGGCCTCAGGTGAACTTACTTTGAGCAGCCCTTGGTATGATTTTTATTAACTGACAGAAAGTAACAAGAAGTCCTTCTCATGCCCTGAAGATTAGGCTAACCGGTCCCCTCTGCCTGCCCCAGTCACACACCAGTCAGATCTTCCAAGCTGGTGATGATCAGCCATCTGTTCAAAGCCCAAGGAAGGAAAATAGTATTGTCGTCAGGTCTCGGCAGAGCCCAGACTTGCTGTTCGATTGTGCCAGCAGATTCTCGGATAGTGGCTATCTGCCCTTGGAGACATCACTTCAAGGCGAATTCCTCTGCAGTTTCCTCACTTCCTGGATGCCTTTCAAACCCAAACAGCTGAAATAAAGGTGCCAATTTGTGTTTTTTCTTGCTAACTTCTTCAACTAGGAGAAGAGAACATGTGCTGTTAAGAGGTTCCCCACTCCTGGCCCTCCTGGACATCCTCTTTAGGGGCCACCAGCTTCTGTTCAGTTGCCCCGCTGGGGAGTCTCTTTAGGTGCTCAGAAACACTTTATCCTTGGGGAGGGCTGTGTGAAATTAGCTTTTAAATACCAAGGTCCTTCTCCAAATAGCTGTCAGATAAAGGCAGGTACAAATGGTTCTCTTTGCCTTATGCTGGTTTAAGCATCATGTGGCTTTATTAAAGAGGGGCAGTCTTGGCGGGCCAGGGGAAAGGGCTCTGGTAGGCTGGGTCTGCGTCGGAGTCCTCCCTTTCTTACTCTAGCTGTGTATCCTGGAACTCTCAGGCCTCAGTTTTCTCACTTGTAAAATGGTATATGGCAATATGGTGCTGGTTATGGTTGACTACACACTATGTGTCCTCAGGATAATGCCCAGCACATACTGAATGTGCACCAAGCCAAATGTTAGATGCTCCTGAGGACCCTTTGAATACTTTTGGGGTTGTGGACGACCCTCAGGCCTGCTTTTGCTGCAGTGCTCTGAGGGTTTTGGTGTTTTCTATATAGAACCCAGGAAGGCATGGCACTGGAGACCCAAATAGAGTCTGTTTACATCCCCTAAAAATGGATCTTACTTGCTGTTATCTATTATGGCTGATTCTGTGAACCAGTTGAAGTCTGATTCTCCTGTGAACCAGTTGAAGTGTGTAGAAAATCCCCGTGTGTGTGTGTGTGTGTGAGTGAAGTCCTTAGCTTTCTCAGTATAGCCATTCCTCTCATGGG